GCTCCGTTACATTGGAATTCTGATGGAAGATTACATAACACAACATTTCCCATTAACAGAAAAAAACAAATTAGAGATGATAAATATTTAATTGATCAGGAGCCCCGATCACCGCCAGTTACAGATTGTAGATCATTCCGGGTCAGCAGACGTAGCGCCACCCTTAGTGGCGGCAGAACGGACTGCAATGTAACCCAGCGTCCCCATATTAAGAATGAAAGCCGTTCGGGGGTTCCATGCCAGAACAGGATGAAGCAGCAATAAGGAATTTGTGTATTGGGTGCGTGGGGGTCCGGTTAGTATAAATAAAGGGGGCGGCGGTTATAGAGGAGGCGGAGTCACTCAGGGGTGGGTTTCACTTGTTTAGCGGCCTCCATCTTGGACAGAGACTCATCCCACATGACGAACTGCTTGGAGAGGTAATATAACATACCATTTACCTTATATATACTGATTTTGTTTATGTATTTATAGCAAGATTTTATTTTCTATATGTCTGTATCTATGTTGTATTATTTTTGTTATTATGTTCTATTGACAAAACCTAATAAATTCATTGTTAAAAAAAAAAAGGATACCAGCTTGTTATAATCCTCCAGCAGCTTCTTGGTCTCAGAGGAGACGTCGTCACACTGGTCCTAGAAAAGAGAAACATCATCAGCATGGAACCAGTGAAGGCGGCTCACACACAGACCAATCTCTGCAGGTGACCGGAGCGTTGTATGGAAGAGCCGGCCTATAGATGCTCCATCACTAAATCTATGAGCACTTCCTGGTCTGGACACCCCCCCTGGAGGTCTCTATGAAAACATGAAAGATGGGGTAATGTAACCATCACAGCACCCTGCCTCAGTATTGCTCTCAAGAGCCTACGGCTCTGATATAAGCAGTGGGCTGGATCTTGGGAGGAGTTATGCAAATAGCAAAATGCCTTGAGGGCTGGGTGTCAGTCTGGAGGAGTGGGCGTTCCCAGGGAGGTTGTATTTACATGCAGACCGCCCCTAGCTAATGTCCAATTGTGATGCTGAGCCTTCCATGATTGAAATAACTGAAATCCAATGAATGAAAGGGGCGGGGCAAGGGACAGTCAGGCTGTGGAGGAAAGGGCTAGATGTTCTGTTCTCAGTGTGCCAACATATAGATTCCTGATTATCAGCAATGCGTGTCTCGTGTCATCTGGTATAAAAGGAGCCAATCAGCCCCCCCCCCCACCCCCCGAGTCTACAGCACATTGATCACGGACATGACACAGACCTGTTGCTGGATGTGGATCTGGGACAAGGTCTGTAACATGGAGACCTGGGCCGGAACCCCTGGGGGGAGAAAAAACAAAATATGAGCGAAAATTAGAATTCTGCATCAAAACATTCCGGAACCTTCTACTCCAAACACACGAAAACATGAGTTGATTACCTGATAACTCTGTTTCCAGGAATCTTCCAGGACAGCCATCGAGATATAGGCTCCGCCTGCCTGCAACAGGAAACACATCAACCACATTAAATAAATAGACTCCTCCTTCCATCCCAAGTCAGTAACCTCTAGGACCGAAGGCTACCCCATGCACAAAAGTATCCCCTCCT